AAACACTTCAGAGGAGCCCGGAGGATGAGCAGCCACACACAAAGCAGGAGTGGGAACAGCGCTAGAGGCAGAGGGGACCTGCAGAAGCCTGCAGCTACGAAGAGCTCAGTGTTTGTGAACAGAGAGAAAAGAATGGTGGAGGCCAGTGTGGCCTATAATTCCTGCTACTGTAATTCCAGCTACTCAGGAGGTTGCAGCAGGAGGACTGTAAGTTCAAAGGCAGCCTGGGCAACTCAGCGACTCAGTGAAACCCCGTCTTAAAATGGTTAATAGGTGGAGGATGTAGCTCAGTGTTACAGCATCCCCAGCATCAGGCCCTGAGTTTAATCTCCAGTAGCAGCAACGACAATAACAACCAAAGGCTAAGGCAGAGCGGCATGTAATGGTGGAGAGGTAGTCGGGGCGGCCATCCAGGTCTTTGGGCCCAACAAAGTCTGCCTTTTATCCAGGGACCGGCGGGGCCACAGCAAGATTTTCATGGGGGGACAAGATGGGGGCTGTAGTGCACGTGGGCAACGGGGGTGGGGGCGGTGGTGATGGCATGGAGGCGGTCGTGGACAGCTCTGAAGGCCACTGCACCGGTCCCCAGGCACTGTCCCCCTGAGAGGGTACAGGAGTGCAGCCTGACAGGAAGTTGGAAGAGTGGGTCCCAGCCCATGCTTTGACCATAGTCACTCTGTGAACCTGCTTCCTTCCCTGGCTTCGGCATCTCTGAGGAACGGGTCAGACCTAGTCTCTTTTGACGAGGATATTCTGTGTCCCAGTCCCGGTTGTAGCCTGCTCTCTGCTGCCTAGGTCCAGCTGCTAGAGGTCTGCCTCCACTACCCAGCTTCCGGCGGCAGACACCACCAGACAAGAAAGGCGGAGTTCTCCTGTAGTTCCCGGCAGTGCCAGCAGGCGGCGCGCCCAGCTGTTGGAGGGGGCGGAGGAAAGGTGCTGGGAGGAGGGCGGGTCTGGAGGGCAAATTCCCTGCGGGAGCTCTGCGTCCCTTTTGAGGCTCCCAGCTCCTCACTGGAGCTGGGCAGGGGAGGAATTGCGCTCCTCCTTCTGAAGTGGAAACGGGGGCTCAGAGAGAGGAGTTAACCTGCCCAAGGTCACACAGCGAGATCGAGGCTTGGCTACACCTGTCCCCACCCCACAGCCCTAGGCCTGGAGAGCTCAGGCGGCTTGCCGTGGGGCACGCGGGCCTGAGCTGGCCCTGCAGCCCACCAGTCCTGTGGAGCAAACTGTTTCCAGCAGAAAGCTAAGCCCTTCCTGGACCATAAACCCAATTTTGAAACTAAGCTATCACTGCGATCTTTATGAGGCCATCACGCTGCGCCCCGCCCGGAGGCCCCGCGGTGTGTGAGAGCGCTTGCAGGACGAAGGGGCCCAGTAAACAGCCGCTCCCAGAGATAAGGCGCTGTCCAGAGGAAGAACTGCTCCCCGGGATGGGGACAGGGCTTCTCCACGCAGGCATCGCTCCGTGGGCACACTATCAGTGGAGGCAGCCCTCCCCCGTGGGCACATGGGGAAACTGAGGTCCAGGGGTAGCTGCTCTTTTGCATGAAGAACCCAGAGGAGGAAGAGGAACTAGCTATTTGTTTAAGCAAAATCCAGCTAACATATGTAGGAGCAGGGAGGCAGACACAGGATCACTATCCTTACTGTCCTAATAGGCCAGCTCAGCTACAGAAAAAAGGAAAAACTTCCTGGTAGGAGCCATGGAGTTGCTGTGTGCCCTCAGGCAGGTGGCTTCACCTCTCTGAGCTCCAGTTTCCTCCTCTGCAAAGGAAGGAAAATTGTCAACTCTGTCTCCGTGGGCCGTGCTGAGGATAGACAGAAGTAACAGATATGGAGGGGCCAGAAGTGATGCACACACAGCAGTGCTGCTGTTGTGATTACCCTAGCACACTGGGAAGGGCCAGTCTGTTGCCTGAGAGACGCAGTGCAAGCTCCCTGAGCTCGCAGCCAGACGGCTGGAGGTGAGGGAGTTTGTGGGGATGGTGGTGGCTCCCCCTCCCTCAGGACCTGTCTGCAGAGAGGGAGGAACAGGCCTCCCGGTGGGCACAGCACTAAGAGGGCCAAGGAGCCGCTCCCCAGGCTCCAGGGTTCCTGCCCCTGCTCCCTCCAAGTCAGGAAACCAGTCCACGCTTTGCACAGAAAGTCCCCAGCCACAAGGCCCGTTTCTCAGCCGCCACCTGAGTCCCGCTCGCGGGCTCCATCACACCTGGACCCCACCCGGCCTCCTCGGCGCTCCTGGCTCTCAAGCCTTTGTTCACAGTGCCCCTTAGCCCACACACACCTTCGCCACTGCCCTGACCCTGACTCACATGCCACTTCCTCCCTCCTGACTCCCTATTCCTGGCCCTCGCCAAGATGCACCTTTACCTTTACTGTGATTATTTGATTCATCCCTGCCCGTCCTCCACACAGGCACCCAAGGTCCCAGGAGCAGGACCTCCCCAAGCACTAGCACAGGCTCAGCACAGGAGGAGGCATCAAAGGAACGAGTGAGTGAACAAATGAATCTCTCTCCCTGTTCCCAACCCTTCAGCCTACCATCTGGGTCTGATTTAGCACCCTCTTGGAAACAGAAGGCACAAACCTCCTCCTCTCCCTGAACAGCATCCCTAACTGAGGACCTAGAGCAGTCACTTACATGCCTCCTGTGATGGTGAGCTCGCTCTCCATGAGAGCCCATTTTAAGAGAGATGACCCTTGTCTTGGTTACTTTTCTCTTGTTGCTGGGACAAAATACCTGAGGCCCAAAACTAAGGAAGGAAAGGTTTATTTAGCTCACAGTTTGTGGAGGTTTTAGTCCATACTCGGCTGGCTCTAAGGCAGAGAGGCACATGGCAGAGGGCAAATGTTCATGGTGGTGGAAGACAGCAAAAGCAGCCAGAGCAAAAAGGGAGGAGCAGCGACAGGTAAGCCCGTTTCCCTCCCTTATATTGTATGCAGGCTACCGGCCCTAGGGTGGGTGTAGCACTCACACCCCAAATCCCAGCATTGGGTCATAAGTCAATCATAAACTCTCGAAGCCCATCCCATGACTGCATGAGGCTTTGGGGGGACATCTAGACACAAACAGTAACACTTTCCAAGAGCATTTGCTCAAGTACAAGTGGGTCAGAACCAGTGCCAGCAGCTTCTCTCTCAGGTCCCAGGTCCAGCCTGTCCCCTCCCCGTGCAGTTCCCACTCCCAGACTGCTCTTCCTCCCGTCCTAGCAACTAGCTCAGAGGGCAGAGTTCAGTCCTCTGGGGCCTCCTCTTCCTCTGTGTACCCCCAATTGCTCTTGAAGGGTTAGTTCCTGAGTCAAGCCACCAGAGAGCTCCAGATCCCTTCTGAGAAAAAAATTCTCAAAGACATGCTCACTTCTTGACCTTCCCTGCTTCAGCAGCTTTTTTTTTTTTTTTCCTTTCTGTTGCTGGAGATTGAAACCAGGGCTTCCCACATGCTTAGGGAAGAGCCCTGCACTGAGCTTCATCCCCAGCCCTTTTTACTTATTTATTCATTTTGAGACAGGATCTTGCTCAGTTGCCCAGGCTGAACTGGAAATTGTGATCCTCCTGCCTCAGCCTCCTAAGCAGCTGGGCTTAGAGTCATGTGACACCACACCTGGCTAGCCAGGTACTCCTTGGTGACATGCGCTCAGCAAGGTCAGCAACAACTCAGGCAGCCCTACACAGGAGGCAGTTAAAACAGCTGGGAGGCCCTAGCTACAATCAATGGATCAGGGCTTTGGCATCTTGATTCACACAAGCCAACTACTAAAAAAGATGTCTTTGAATCAATGGGAGTATTTAGAATAAAAACAGTGTGTTAGGTCATACCCAAGAATTTGGGTTCATGTTGTTAGATGTGACAATGACATATAAGAAAGTGACCATGTGGCCCGGGGAGATAGCTCAGTGGCACAGCACCTGCCTGGCAAGCACAAGGTCCCGTGTTCGATTCCAAGTACCAAAAAAAAAAAAGGAAATTTTAAAAAGAAAAATAAAAATAAATTTAAAAAAAGAAAAAGAAAGTGTTGGTGTTTTAGAGATTCATGCTGAGGTATGTATGGGTAAAATGACATGCTGCCTGGAATTTGTTTTAAAATACCTTAGGAAAATGGGAGGGAGGTGAAAGAAGCGTGGCAAAATCTTAGTAACTGTTGAAGCAAGGTGATGAGCACCTATTGGTTTATTATGCAGTTCTACTTTTGTGTATGTTTGAAGCTTCTCGATAATCATAATAAAAGGGTAGAGAGTCATCCGGAGAATTTGTGGCAAGTTTCCCAGGATGTTCTCAGAAGACCCTCCCCCTCTCCTGCCCCATACCTTTGAGAGCTTTCTCTGCACCCCAAGTGAAGCCCCCAGTAGTATTCAGGCTCATATATGTGCATATGTGCATTTTCCGGGGGAAACATCCACCGCTTTCATCGCAGACTAGTGGGGTCGTGACCTCTCTCCTCCACCCTCAAAGAGCACCCTACCTTAAGCCGCGACCCTGTTTGAAGTCAGCATTGCCCCCCTCACCTCACGCTTGGTGGGTCGCTACCGAGTGGGCCACAAGACGGGTGTGGGTGCCCCGCGTCTCCACCTGTGACCTGGGGTCGGGGAGGGGGGCTGTGCCCACAGCAACAGGCAGGGCGGGCGCCCGGGACGCCAGGTCCACCGAGGCCCAGGAGGTTCCCACGCGCGGCGGTGCGGTGACCCTCGCGCGCGGAACGCGCCCTCCACGCCCCAAGCCCCGGGAGCCCTGGCCAGCCCACCTCCCGCTTGGGGAGGCAATTTGTCTCCTTTTGAACCCCTCGCCCCCGACGGGTTTCCCCCTTTGATTCGCAGGCCAGAGGCTTCCCCCAGCTTTGAAATGCAAACCCGCCCCGGCTGAGGCCGCGGGCGCCCGGAGCTATAAAAGGCCTGGGTGGGGCGGGCGCGGCGCGGCGGCGAGGCCAGGTGAGCGGTTGCTGGTCGTCGGGGCGCGGGCCGCGGCGCTCCAGGGCCCAGCATGCGCGGGGGGCCCCGCGGACACCATGTACGTGGGCTATGTGCTGGACAAGGACTCGCCGGTGTACCCCAGCCCCGCCAGGCCCTCGAGTCTCGGCCTGGGCCCACAAGCCTATGGCCCCCCGGCCCCGGCCCCTGCGCCCCCGCAATACCCCGACTTCGCCAGCTACACACACGTGGAGCCGGGCCCCGCGCCCCCTGCGGCCTGGAGCGCGCCCTTCCCCGCGCCCAAGGACGACTGGGCCGCCTATGGCCCTGGGCCCGCGGCCCCGGCCGCCAGCCCAGCTCCGCTGGCATTCGGACCCCCTCCGGACTTTAGCCCGGTGCCCGCGCCCCCAGGACCGGGCCCCGGCCTCCTGGCGCAGCCCCTCGGCGGCCTGGGCGCCCCGTCCTCGCCAGGAGCGCAGAGGCGGACGCCCTACGAGTGGATGCGGCGCAGCGTGACAGCCGAAGGAGGCGGTGGCAGCGGTAAGGACCCTTCCCTCGCCCTGCGCCTCCGGACGGTCCCCGGCACTGGCAGGTGCTCGGCAGGGCCCGGGCTGTCAGGTTTGACCTCTGTCCTGGGCCTGCGTGGGGGCAGAGTGTGGCCCCTCGACCGCCCGGACCCAGCACAGCTCTTCTGTCTCCGCGGCCCTGAATGCCAGCCTAAGCCTCTCTCAGTATAGACAGGGAAACTGAGACCGCGTGCAGGGAGGAAAGGCTCCGGGTGGCGGCAAGGCCTGAAATAGAAGCCAGGTCCCCGGAGCTTGTGCAGGACTCTAGCACTTGGCCCTGGTAGTCTTCATGGCTTCTTCCACTCGCTCCCCAGCCCCAGCAGGGGCGCCAGGCTCTCCCTAGGAGTGATCAAGACTGCAGGTGGGCCGTCACTTTCCTTTCCGGGACTCCTTTCTAGGACTTAGGGCCCCATCTTACAGTGAAGAGTTCCATTGGGCTGACCCAGAGCCCGCTTCCCTTAGACTGGGGGGATCCCTACCTAGCCCCTACCTCCTGGCCCTCCCTGAACTCTTGACCCCGGGGGAGGGGAAGCAGAGCAGTTGGGAAGGTGGCTACTGTTTGGCTCCTGAGCCTGTGAACCTCCTGCCCCCAGGCAGGCCTCTCTGATCCACTCTCTTCAAAGGAAGGGGAGGGGGCAGGACAAAAGCCCAGCTTTAATGAGGGGTGGCCTGACCTTTATGGCCCCCCTCCCCACTTTGTCATGTAACTGGCCGTCCTTTGGCTCAGTAGTGACTCCTGTTGGCCGGAAAGTGAACATGACACCCCATTGTCTAAATTGTGTCCAGGCCTGTCCTGACAAAGGCCACCTGGCCGTGGGGGCGGGAAGCTGGCCTGCCCACCCTTTGATGTCCAGCCCCTCCTTCTCCTCCCCCAGCTGGGAGCAAGCCTGGGACTTCCCCCACCTCCTCTCCTCTTCGCCCTCATCTCCCCCACACGCAGGCTGCCTGCCCTGGCAGAGGCTGGGGAGGCCTTGTTCAGCAGCTGCACGTTTCACTTCTGGGCCGTCCGTCTTTGTCTTCAGGCAGATGCCGGTGACCAGGCCTGGCCACTCACTGCTATGGCCTTGACTGAGTAACAACGCTTAACGCCATGGAGCGCCTAACTGGAAAAACTCTGCTGCGGGTACCACTATGGCCCCAGCTTTGCAGAGGGAGACACTGGGGCACAGAGTGGTTAGATGCTTCCAGGGCTGTAGAGCCAGTAGCTGGGGGTGGGATTTGGCCCCAGGCAGCCTACAGAGGAGTCTGTGCTGTAATCCTCCCCACAACTTCCCTTCTGGGGCCCCGTGGCACTGTCTGTGAAATGAGAAGGGGAGAAGGTTGTGCAGCGTTTGTGCCCTGGCCTGAGCTGTGAAAAGACTCTTGATCCTTGAAAAGGAGACGGAAAGTAACCCTCTCCCTGGAGAAGATGGTACATCACTGGGCATCAACTTCAGGGGTGCTGGGGACCCGCCCCAAAAGCTTGTCCCTAACTCCTGGAGTACGGACCCCACATTAGATTTTGTGAAGGGCCTCCGCCACAGCCTTTTTCAGGCCTGTGACCGGCTCTGTGTCTGGAGGAGGAGGTCCACCTTCTCCGTCCCTCACTTGCTGCTTCCCCGACCATCCGGCAACCTGAGATGGACGGGGAAGTTCCCCATGGGTGCGGACTTAGACTTGTGTGTGCGGGAAGGAGTGCAGCTTAGGGATGGGAGGGTGGGAGAGAGCCTGGAGGAGCTTCCGGCCCAGACCAGTGACCTATGCAGTGTGTCTGGGCACAGGGGCCGTGGAGCCCAGCTCTACCTCTGGCCGAAAAAAATCACATGTTGTCTGTTGTCCGCAGGCAGTGGGGCTGCCCAGAGGCAAAGGATTCCCCTCTTCTGTCAGGGAGAGGAGGGAAGGGCTGTGGAGGTCCTGGGACTCCAAGGAAGGCTGCCCGGGAGCCAGGTTAGACCTTCTGCAGGGAGGAGCTGGAAGCTGCTGCCGTGTCTGCTCAGGGCCTGTGACTCTCACCGGTGCTCAGAAGCAGGGACAGAGCTGGGATGGGGTCACCCTCCCCAGAGAAGACCACACCCCTTCTTTGTTGGTCTCGGTTTCTTCTTCTGGGCAGTGAAGGCGGAGGTTTCCCGAGGTACTTGCTGTGTGATGCTGTTGTCTGGGACAGCCAAGGGAACGTCAGTGGTTGCCATGCCCTCTTTCCCCCAGTGACACTGACCCCCGGGTCTTTAGCCTGTGGCTGTGTCTGACCTTCCTCTTTCTGAGCCCTAGCATTCTAGAACATCCACCATGGATGGTTAGAGAGCAGACACACAGTAGGAGACGGGTCTAGAGATTATGAAGCCTGTGCCGGCTCCATCCAAGTGGAGGCTGGGCTGGGAGAGATGTCAGCTGCTTAGGATGGGCTCCACACTGCTTCCTGAGAGCCACAGAGGCGTACAGCTTCAGCGCCTGCTGCCCAGGCCACTCCCCTTGGCCACCATGCTCCAGGTGCTCCAGCTTCTAATTCCTCAGGCCTCACAAGGTCTTGCGCACCTGCTGTTCTGTCTTCCAGGAAGGCTCTTCCCTCTGATTCTTTGCACTGCTGGCTCCATCTCCCTCTCCAGGTCTTGCTTAGCTCAGTGGTCATCTCCAAAGTTCCCAAAGCAGACCCCCCATGCCCGGTGAAGATGTTGGGAGCGTTCCCTTCAGAGCGCTGTCTCAGGTTCCGGTTGCTCACCTTTTCCTTGCTGTGTGCTCACGGTTCCCACGAGGACCAGAGCCGTGTCCTTCTGACCCACTGTTGCACCCAGGTGCCTGCGTCAGTGTGCCGTGTTTAGTAAGTGTGCGATGCTTTTTGTTGCATGAATGGTCAGGGACAGCATGAGGGGCAGAAGCCATCTCTGGGAGGACAGGGGAGGGCAAGATTTGGGCTTTAGCATGGATTTCTGGAGTCGCTACTGAGTGGCTGGACCCACAGGAGTCCCGGCCCATGGTAGGAGCCTGGCTGCCCTCTGTCCCCACTCGGACGGCCTCCTGAGTCCCTTGGGGAGCTGTCCGCCTAGGCGGGACAGAGACTCTGGGCTCCTTAGCAGGCGCTGGTGAGATGGGGACCATGCGGGAGACGCTGAAGCGCATAAGGAATATATCGGGTCCGAGTGGTCAGCATCATCTGACTGAGCCAGGGTAGGAGATGCCCATAGGGAACCTGTTCTATCTGCTCTCCTCGCGTCTGTAAACACCAGTGCTTGGTTTGAGAGGACGTCACCATCCCTTTGCCGCAGCGCAGTTTCTGCCGTGTGAGCAAGCAGTGGGTCCCAGGTTAGTAGCCCGTGGGGACGGCTGAAGTCACAGCGCGAGACAGATGCTCACTCGGGTGATGGAACCCTCGAAACACCCTGGTCCAACCCCTTCAGCTTTCAGATGGGGAAACTGAGGTGTGTGGAGAAAATGACCCCTCCACACACGTTTCAGACCCTCTCCCTTAGTCCATCGCCATAGCCACTAACCTGTCCTCTCACCTTCAGCCTCTCAGTGATGCCCTAGCTGCTCTCCACACCCCTGACAGACTTACCTTGTCCAGGCACTTGCCCTGCTCAAGAGCAGTCTCTGGCTCCCCATTGCCGTGGAACTGCCCTCTTGAGAACTGGCCCCAAGATACTGTCCCACTGATTTGCCTAGAAACAGAGATGTTCACCAGTAGGAGCCAGGGCTGGGGAGTCTCAGATCTGAGACTGGTTTCCGTTAGAAGCTGGACAGCCTCAGGCGAGCTAGCTTGGAGCCTTTCCCTGAAGCTGGTTTTCTTCCACCCTAACATCAGCACAGTGATAGAACTGCACCTTGAAGCCCTGGCACCCGTACAGACAGCCCTGCACCAGGGCCCAGTGCATCAGGTTCACGCAGCACGCGCCTCACGCTTCCCGCCTCCCCAGTCTAACCCTCAGTCCTCACCGCCCTCCCTTCCCTCTCCTACCTCCTCCTCAGTTCAAATGCTGCTCCTTCCTGAGGCCCCCTCCTCCAGGAAGCACTCCTTGATTCTCCCACCACTCCAAGCACTGAATCAGCCTCTTGTTTTAATCGCGTGTAACACCGTCTGGTTTATCCCTGCCAGCTACCATCCGTCACTCCCTCACAGACCAGTCCTCATCAGCCCCAGCCCCACCCCGCCCTGCACACAGTAGGAGCTCACAATCAAGCTAATAACCATCACTGGCTGCAGCTTTAGTGCGCATAGGCACTGGGCCAAGAGCTTTGTGCGAGTGGCCTCGTTTAAATCTCATAACACCCTTCGGAGGTGTGAAAGTTCTATTATTGGACTCGCTTTACAGGTGATGTTGATGAGGCTCAGCGAGGTAAGGTGGCCTCCCTGTGCTCACACAGCTAGATGGCAACGCAGGGCCTGGCCAGAGTCTGCAGCCCGGGAACAGAGCCCAAGACCCCTCTCACCATGCGTCCCAGGCCAGGTGGGAAAGGAGGCCAGGCAGGCATGCGCTGTGAGGGGCGGGAGCGCAGCCCGGCTGTGTGCAGCTGGTTCCCAAGCAGAAGCTCCACTTGACACCTCAGCTCTCAGATGTAGCTAGGAAGGGACTGACCCAGTTAGGAGGTGGCAGGAGGCTGTTTTTGGTTGGATGTCCCCTCCCCCCTGCCCTTGGGCAGACCGTGCTGCGTGGAGCTTCAGGGATGGCTGTGAAGGCCCACACACCTTTGAGAGCAGCAGCGTCCAGCTCGTCAGCAGGTTGTGCTCGCACGGGCTGGCCTCTCAGGTTTCTGTCTGGGAGCCCGTGGGGTCTGCAAACAGCATTCTCATCTGGAGTCCGGGCGGACTCTGTGTTAGCAGGCTGCACCCCACCAGCCCCCGCACAGATCCCTGCACTGACCCCTGTCCCAGGGGAGAGGGAGCAGGGAGGGGGCTGCTGCTCTGTACTGTACTCAGCATCCTCCAGCTCCTTCCCATTGCTCTTGAAATCCATCCCAACTCTCTGTTGGAAGCTCTGCTGGCCCCTCCAGCCTCATCTTGTG